GATTATAGTTTAGTTAGGATTTGGAATAAAGGCATGTGCCTAATTAGTTATTTGGTAAGTCTTAGATTCTAGATATTTAATTGCCTTAGGAACTTATCTTATTTCTATAGTTTAGAATTCTAGTTATTGTAGAATTAGTCTTAGTTAATATCTATAAATACTACTCATTGTCATTCAAGAATTAATAAGAAAAATCTTTCGCATGACTGACCTTGGGGAGTGCACGGGTAACCTAGGCGAGGCCTGGACTGCTATGCGCGACTTATGTGCTTTGGGCTCGTTTGAGCTCGTCCGAATTTGAAATTGAGTTCTTCTTTTTTCTACTTGTCCCCAACAAACCTTTATAGTTAATTATGCTCGCATGACTGACCGCGCGTCGTAACGCGGCAAAATTATAATTTATATTTTTCTTAACTGACTTCAACCAACTAGTAGTAGTAGTGAGTAAGGGTCGAACCCACAAGAAGTGTGAATCAAATTGTGAATTTTCTCGTATTAATTGAAATAAGAAAGCAATAAAATAGGGGGGATTGGATTTAATAACTATACTACCTAAAATTCTAATGAAATAAATAAAATCTAAACAAGAAAACAAAAATAAAATAAAATAAATAAGAGAAATTTCTAGTTCACAGTTCCGTCTACACCCTCGACTGACTCGTCTAATCAACTTTGGTATCAAATCTCGCTATCTTATGGAATTACTAGCCCTAGGCAACGACACAGTCTGTTACTCGAATTTTTTCTTATTTATAATTTAACCGCGAGACGCTCTACCATTAAACCTGACTTCTTGTACAGTCCAGAAAAACGTTTTCAAGATTTAATACAATTAGCCACTTTACGAATTAGAAAAACAGGCTGGACTAAGTAGTGACGCGTTCGTTCACTTAAATAGGCCGTGTTATCCCCGGTAGCAACTGTCTTCCGGTAGCCTCTTATGAATTAAACACTTCAACAATTATGGATTAAATGACTAATTCAGCTGTAGATATGAAAAGCCTAATCTAGGTGATCAATCTAAACAAGACTCAACACATCATGGTTAATTATTCAAAATAACACAAACAATTTCAAAAAGATAACTCAATAATCAACCACGTAAATTAATCAAACATCATCAAGTCGTAGGGTTCAACTTCCCTAGAACTAGAAATAAAAACTAGCCTAACATAATAAATAATAAGAGAAAGAGAATAGAATTATCCTCTTTCGTGTGCGGGTGCGGTCTCTCTCCGCGATTGATCCGGTCTCTGTCTTTTTCCTCTCTTCGTGCCTCTGTTCTGCGTGAATTCTCCTCCTATGCGTCTTTGCGTGGCGACTTCTTTTTGCGTGTATAATGTCTGTCCCAGGCTTTGTGGCTACGTGTTATATAAATAATGGGTGTGTAATTCCAAAACTCTCCAGGCCTGTACGTAGTCTTCCTCAATTATTCAAGTGTTAGACCCCAATTAATTCCCTTCTCAAGTCTCTTGATTGGGTCATTAGTATCTAGCCCACTGCTTATGCATTAAGTCTTCAAACCTCACAATTTTTGGGCCCAACTTTCATTAATGATCCGAAACATGGTAAGTACGGGGTGCCGATTTGATTCGATTTGCTTCAATCTTCATTCAACGTCTCGTCATCCATAAAATACTCCAATATCCTAAAGATAAATCGTAAAAATGTCAAAGCACTTAAATCCATCTAATAAATAATTAAGTCGAAAAATAAATAAGTGCGATAAAATTAAGCATATAAAAATACGCTAATAAATATATAATATACACACTTTTTCTGACCAATCAATGACCAATTTCTCTTTCAAATAATATTCGCTTGAAGCTCCCAACCTTCACACCAAAAACGACAAAAACACGAAGAAAACTGGGAAACACAAACAAAAACACAAAAAAAAACCCAAAATAAAAGAAACTACGCAACAAACAACAAAACAGACTAAAAACCAACGAAAAGATCTTAAACAGGGAAAAAGAAAGACACAACAATAATGAAAAATGCAATATAAATAGGACAAACACACTTCACCTGAAAACTTCTCCGATGTGAGAGTTCTGCGGTTCAAGGACGTTCAACCGACGATCGAGCTTTAAATTCAGTCGTTTCCAACTATTTTCAGTCAGTCGGAGGTCTTTATGATACCATAATGTCCATTAATTAATTTAATTACTGACAATCCAATTAATTGATATCTTGCGTCAAAGCTAGTACCACTCAAATCATTATAATTAAATCAAAATTTAATCCACCTGCAGGATTTAGCATAATAACTTTAATGATCTCACTTCAGGGACATCATCAAACTAAGGTACGTGGTGACTGCAAATATTTTAATAGCACACCATGCATGAAGCATTACTACCCAACTCAACTAGTTATTGATCCAGACAGAATGAACCTCACGGTGATGAATCAAAATAGTATATACTACATACGCTTGTGTGTTTATATCTTTCGGGCTAAGAGAACGCAATAATTAATCGAGACGTAGTTCATTTACAACGATCAGTATAAAACCAATTACTCTTCCCTGAGATCCGTTCAATACACAAATGTACTAGTGCAACTAATCAGTCAAGATCAATTGTATCGTTGCCACTACAACCGTTCAAATGGCTGATTCAATTTCCATCTAGGTTGTGAACCAACTCTTTATGTTTTGCAAGTTACTGATACAATGATGTTTTGTCTATCCACGATGAATCATTATTTAAGTGCAAAACAACACAACGTGTAGATTGTTTAATTAAACATGATTCTCATTCAAACGGGAATAATGTCAACAAAAAACGGAGCTTTCAATATACACACCAACAACAACCTGCAACAAAGGATGTGGGTGGGTGATCTGATGCACGAAGAGGGTCAAAGGTTGAATATTGGGTTAGTATGGTCACCTCAGAGACTTGTACTTCTATTGCAAACATCAAACCCTCAACCCTGAGGCAAAGGACATGTGGATTTGGGTTATGGATAAGCATGATAAGTTCTCTATTGTTTCATCTTATTCTGTCTCTATTCTGAAGAAAGTACATTACTTAGGGAGATATGAAAACATCAATGTTGCTATTTGTGATAAAAAAAACTAGGCAAAAGTATTGACAACTCAATGTGAAATTTGGAAATGCTTTTCTGGTTCCATGCCACTGAATGTAAATTTAAAGAGAAGGTGTCCGACTGTTGATTGGGTCTGCAATTGCTATGGTGAGCAGACTGACAATATATAACACCTTCTATTCTATTGTGGCATAGCTAAGAATGTGTGAAAACTGATACCAATCCACTAGAACTATTCTGAGGCGGCTATCTATGACTTTAGAGATTGGTGATGGTAGATTTTGGCTATGGATCGATCTGCAGTTTCAGAGGCAAGAATACAACTACCGTTGTATATCTTTTGGTGGCTCTGGAAATCTTGAACTCTTTGGGTATTTCAACATGCTTGGATGCTGGAGCAAGCTATTGTGAAAGCGGCTCTGACGGACTGATTGGAATTTTAGAATGTTAGTAGTTAGCTTGGGCTCGTCGAGGTATCTAGTTCCTTAGGTTCAGTGGTCATTCTTACTCTCTTCCTTTTTGTTGTTTGACAGTTGTTTTTTTGTGTTTCTTGTATGCTTTATAAGATTTTTCAAAAAAATCTCACATTTTAACTCAACCACATTTTTTAACTCAACTTTAACTCAATCCCACTATCATCAATATTATCAATATAATTAAATAATATCAATCAATCATTTATACACACCACATAAACTTTAATTCACTATTCATTCACTCACATTATTTTAACTAACCATCACATAACATTTTCTCTTTCCTACTTTTACATCAAACCGATTTTAATTATTTTATTTTAAATATTATTTGAATATACCTACCAACAACTAACCATACCACTTTTTCAAAATTAACTAAACAAAACCAAAAAATCCAAACAAACTCAAAAATTTTCATAAACAAACATGCTCTAAAGGTTCCGAAATGTTGTATTTGCTATTAGTGTTGCTAGTATTTTTTTTTTTTTTGTCTCTAGACCACCATCGGTGTGGCTCTCCTTGACTTAGTTTAAGACTAGTTTGCCTTCGTATTGTAAGTCTCCTGTTTATGGTTATGAGTATCTTCTATCGATTGAAAGAAAGAAAAAAAAGCATATATATATATAGAGAGAGAGAGAAGGGCGTGGAATGTAACTTGAATAGAGCCCAACAAGAATGGGTATGCAAATGGGCTCAAGAAAAGGATGGATGTGGGCTCGTCTAGAATCAAAAGCCGCTTAATTCTCATTTCAATTCCGACCATCGTCATCATTTGGTTTGCCCTTCACATCTATCGGGTAACCTTTTCTTTCTCTTTTCTACGTTTTCTCGTTTTACTTCGTTATATGCACTACTGTAATTTCCTAATGTGTTGTTTCATCTTCTATTCGTCTTCGTTTTCCTTTTTCATTTTTTTTTTGTTCCCAAAAAATGACTGAGTAAATACTTATTTAGCTCATACGGTAATTTGAAAACTCTGTGCTGCAGAAAGAGTAAACAAAATTGTGCTGGTTTGGAAGCAAAATTTTTCATCTTCTCATGTAGTCTTTGTTCTTTCTTTTTCACCTTTTTTTTTTTAAATTTTATTTTTGGATAACTGGAAAAACTTGAATGTTTAAGGTGGTGGTTGTTAAAAATGGCACTTAAGAATTAGGTTAATTTAAAAAGACAAGAAAAAAAAAATGGAAATTTAGGGCATTGTTTATTTATTTAATTTTTTGGGATTTTCTAGATGACAGAGGTCAAGCTCTATAAAATTTCTTGCCTTTCTCAGAACATAAGAACCTAACAGTGAATGAAAATCTTTGATGATTTGCATTTACTTAGATGCTTGTACAATCTGTTATTAGTTGCTTCTTTTGTGATCGTGTCTATGAGTTTCAGTATATATTCGATTTTATTTCAGATAAAAGAAATACAAGGGAAATGAAAATCAACAGGCGAAACTGAAATCCGTTTCAAATGGAGGCTGGTGAAATTGCTTTTGATAGTAATGGCGAACTTTTAGTTGGGACATCTTATACTCTCCCTAATCTTGCCACCCACCTGTCGAAAAACGAGCCTTTTGATGGCCCTGAATTTGAAGGTGTCCAAGGATCGCCTGCAAAGAAGAGGAAGATCGAGACCAGCAATCAGAATGCACTAGAGAAAGATGAAACTCCAGGTAGTACAGTACACCTTGTTCTTCTTGGTAGTTCATAATTCTCAATGCTCATATTGAAAGTTTTTTTTATACTGAAATGACTGTTGTCAAGGTCGCAATTTGTAATGTAACTGAGAACCTGTATGTATTATTTGGGCTTCAAGCTGAGTGCAGACAAAATGTTTGGGAATCTATGTTTGCTGGTGCGTGTATTTTTATTTCGATAGCATGGTCAAGTATGAAATGAAAATGCAGGGATAAGAGATGTTTTTTTCACAGAGATATTAAAATAGTGCTTGGATATGATTTTCAGAAAGGAAATACGAGTGGCTGAATGGTTAGAGTTTGTGGGAAAAAGCTGAGTAATTCGTGTGTAATGATGTAGTGTTTTTATTTAGTAATGTTTGGTAGTTGGTGGGAGAAAAAATAAAGTTCTGTGAATCGGTAATGTGTTTTCTGAAAGCTTTAATTTATAATTACGTGTTGATGCATTTTAGGTGTCACAAACTGTTATATTTTCAAGAGTCGGCTTCAAGAGTTTTGCCAGAAAGCTGGGTTTACAACTCCTGTTTACGATACCATCAAGGAAGGCCCTTCCCATGAGCCATTTTTCAGATCAACTGTGATTGTAAACAATGCGAGGTACGATTCTCTTCCCGGATTTTTCAACCGCAAAGCAGCCGAGCAGTCAGCGGCCGAAGTTGCACTAGTAGAACTCGCCAACTCTGCTGATATGAAATTCTGGATCTCTCAACCTGTGGTAACTGTCTTTCTTTGTTGCATTCCTTAAAAAGACGTGTCTGAATCCCATCTACTACCTGGCCATCTGCGCAACCTTTCTGTTTAAAAGGATTTAAGGAAGATATATCATTTCCTATTACAAGCAGTCACTATATGAAACTAATAATTTCTGTAGTAACTTACAGAATTAGTGTTCTACGGTTATTTGAAGGTTGAGTGGAGGGAAGTTTTCA